CACTGCATCAGATACAGTAATTGGTTCATCTAGGCCAGTGCTGTTGGAAGTCAAACTGACTGCCGGCAGTACTCCAGAGCTTCAAGCAGGATACTTTGCTAGCCTGACCTGGGCATGCAAATGATTGAACCTGTGACTTTATGCATGCAAAGCATGTGCTCCACCACTGAGATACAGCCCTTTCCCTTTTAGGTTTTTGCTGGGTTGAGTAGCTCTAGGTCTCACCTGGCCATGGGTTATTGCACCAGTGCAGACATAAGGTTAGCTGACTAACAACAAGACTCAAAATGTATGTGAGCTAATCGGAATTCATCAGTCTAATGCCCTGCTGGAAAAATGTATGTGGCTGAAAGATATGTGCAGGACAGGGGACATGAGACAAGGGATGTGCTTCTGTGGCCACTTACTTTTCCTTTTTCAGATCCAAGGACCAAGATCCCTGCTGGGCTGGAGTTTCTGGTGTGACCTGCAACAAATGGCGCCACCGATAAATCTGTTCTTGTGGGACTGAGGAATCTTCTGCACTTTAAAAGAGCTATTCCACAGTTCTGCTCTGACTTTGGGGTAGTATTCAGAGCACCCTGAGTAGCTCCTAAAAAGTTCAAACTGAAAACAGGGGTGGGTTCGCCTTTGCCACACCACCAGAATCACCAACTACCATGCACTGCAACACCCCACATAGCTTACTGCATCATCTCCAGGAACAGGAAATGATGTTGGTTTCCCAAGGAGGATGAACTACCCAGTGGTTGCTGCTATCTGCTTCAAGATGAATATCTCTCCCATTTCATTTAAATTAGTAATATCAGTGTAGGAGTTCAGAGACTACAGTGGTGCCTCGCTTAACGATTACCTTGTTAAACAACGACTCCGCCTTACTATGTTTTTTTGCGATCGCTATTGTAATCGCAAACAATGTTCCTATGGGGAAAAATCACTTTACAATGGTTGGTTCCCTGTTTCGGGAACTGATTCTTCGCATTACGATGATTTCCAAACAGCTGATCGGCCGCAAAATGGCCGCCCGCTGTGTGAAATGGCTGCCCGCTGTTTTTAGGACGGATTCCTCGCTTAACAGGCACTTGAAAATGGCCACTCTATGGAGGATCTTTGCTGCACAATGAGGTATTTCACCCATTGGAACGCACTGAACAGTTTTCAATGCATTTCAATTGTTTTTTTAAATTTCGCTTGATGACAATTTCGCTTAACAGCGATTTTAACGAAATGCATTATTATCGTCAAGTGAGGCACCACTGTATAAAATTTGGCATTTCATAAGATTTGTAGCCCAGAGAGACAGGATGGTGATGAGTCTTTGGTCAACGGAAAAGGAGATTTGATAATAGAAATATATAAGTTGACCAGAGAGTTGAGGCATTTGGGTGTTGAAAGAATTTTGGACATTAGGAAGTGGAATGTGGGAACAGAATTTAGATAATGGGGAGTCCTGGTGGGCAGATGAATTTGCAGGCTTGGAGAACAGAGAAAGCTGAGGTCAGCACTGGGGCTGTTGAAAGGAGTTTGGCAGGCAAAATATTGTTGGCAGTTTTCCAGCCCCTGCTTCTGGTGGACTTCTTCCCCATCAGAAGTGACACGGCGGTTTCTGATGCAAAGTTATATCCATACCTCTTTGGTATCTCCTGGGAGTGGGCTAATTCGGCCCTTCAGCCCATCTGGATTTTATGCTTCTATTTAAGGACTGGCTGACAGTATATTCGCAATGGAATCAGCTTCAGTTCTTTTATCTGTGAAGCTAAACTTCATAGTGAATGACTCTGTGAGTGCCTGTGCTGGCAAACACTAGGAATCAAGACTGCGAACCTCTGCAAATTAAAAATATACATGATAAAAGAGACAGAATGTTGCAGTTTTCTTGTATGGGAGCCCAGTGCTAGTGTTGCAGAATATTGCACACTGTAAAACTAAGGGAACATTTCCTTTGATTCACAAAATTTCCTAAGAGCTTTCCCTTGTGCATTTTGGTGATCATGCATTGATAACTGCATACTTTTCATACTTTATCTGTAATTGGAAACAGTGCAATGACGGAGAGGTTTGCCTGGAAAGATAAGAAGAATGTACCTCCTCTGTGTCATCAGCCTTTCTGAGGAATGGAAAATAAAAATCTTTTTTTTTCTTTTTTTCTTTTGCTTATGTCCAACTTCGTGAGAACATGACACATAAGCCATGTTTTTAAACTTTCACTGAAGTGTATGATACTGCTGTCATTTGTTCTCTAAAGACTATCCAACATTAAATGTATATGCTGTTTTCAAGCTTATTTCAAAACATGAACATTTTAATATAAATGGCCCTGGAAAGACACATGCAACCTGTGGGTCACATTTTGCTCAATGCAGACAGCTACTAAGATAAACAGATAGACATATTCTCTGTGTGTGTGTGTGTGTATTCTGGGTGTTTGGGACTAATTGTACTTTGGGATTAAAATGGGGTGTCTGGGTATAGAGAACAGACTGGTGGTGTAATTGGTCCCATGAGATTGTAGCATATTGGTATCAAAATTACTTCTCAATTTGTGTATGTTTGTCAACAGAGATAAGGTATCGCAAGCTCTATGGATATAAAAATCTGTCAGATTGTTTTTTTTTTTCTTTTCTTGTTATATTGCTTAGAATCTCATAAATATTCTCATCAACATCCATCTTAGGTTGCAAGACCCTTCCCCCAATTTCTGCATAAAAGTCTGTGAACATTCTGATAGACCCGTCCCCTGGTGTATGCATTTTATGCATTTTTCTGAATGCATACAATCTTTTGTTTACTTTTCCCATTGCCTAGAGTTAAAAACATATACACATTTTCAGCTCTGCGCATATGCTTCTGTATAATGAAAAGAAGAATCTGATGCATTTTCCTTCTGATGATGACCGGAAGATGGGCGATTTGGGCATGACTCCATTTAATAGGCCCTCTAGTCTATTTGATACATTAAAAAAAAATCTCACCACAACTTTCGTTTCCATCCCTGCTCGTGTCTCCTTAATTCAGAAATGATTCTTCTGACAGCAGTTTAGGAGCTAATGCAAGAGACTTGGGGAAATGAAGAATCCCTTGATGACAGAGTCTGTTGGCCAGGATTCCTAGCTGTAGGGAACTGTCCAAAGGCAGTTGGCTTAGCAGAACAAGCCGAAGTCCTCCAAGAACTCCCATTCAGCAGTTCATGTTTTGTTGCACCCTGAGCTTGGGGTTGCTCACATCTCTGCCTGAGATGATAACCTCTGCATTCTTCAGCTGACATTCAGAGCTCATCTGGGACCATCTATCATTAGCTGCAAAAGAAAGCCTCCATCTACATGTGAAACAGACCATAGTGCCCTACTCACTCTGGAAATTCAGTTATTCCTTTCTGATATTCATTCTGAAGATAGCTTTTGCAGAAAGCTTGTCTCTGGGCTCTGCATGAGATGGGGGGATCTGCAGATGACCTGGTAATACACATGACTATCTATGGCCTGGGGGGGCACATCTATGAGCCTCATCCCAAAGACACTTTTAGCCTCTAGTAGTCCCCCTCCATTCTTTAAAACTGGGAATGTAGGCTCACTAGAGGTGTTTAGATTATCAAATTAGGCCCACCACACCCCCTAGAGAGCACAAAAGAACTTTCTAGGATAAAAAAATTAAAGTCTGGTGTATGCTAGTGGTGTATTTTGGCCTTTTGGAGGCCAAATGTTGCCCACTTTTGGCTTAATAGAACTTAGTTGGCATCTCTTTTATCACTGTTGGAACTGGAGCACTAATGCTTGTAACTTGTTGGAATTAGAGGAGAAGGACAGCCAGGTAGACCCAGCTATACCTTCCCCATCTTTCTAAGGAACTCATTTGATAGTAGATTACATTTGCTAATTTATACTTCTTGCTACTTCTCAAGATGTAAGGCAAAAGGCAGACACATATCTCCATAACGCATAATGGTTGCAAGCACCTCCCCATACTGAAGACGTCCAAGTCTAGAATTTTTCTAGACTAAGTTAGGATTTTTCTTCTGATCTATCCCTGTGTGGATTGGCAGCAAATTAAACATAATGGTTGTTGGTTGTTGTAGGTTTTTTAGGCTGTTCTGAAAGGTTGTTCTTCCTAACGTTTTGCTAGTCTCTGTGGCCGGCATCTTCAGAGGACAATTAAATATAAGTTTCCTTTTCTGCATGTTTGTCAGCTTTCAGAACATCCATGGTCTTTCAACCCTGAACTAAAGAACTTTGCCACCATAAATATGTCTTGCAGTGACCAGTCTCACTGTGAAAGTCTCTCTGCTACTTCAGAACATTCCATCAGTGGGACTAGAATATTGCAGAAATCCTGGGGCTGTACACACCCATCTCAGGCTTTAGAAGACCCCATTAAAATATTACTTTTTTTTTTTTACCTTAACAAGCCTCTCTCATGCCCTCCAGACAAATGGGGATAATTCTACCAGGTCCAGCCATACTAGCTTAAAAATTAAATCAAATCAAGCAGAGTTTTTTTTTTTTCAAAACCAAGATGGACAAGAAGTGCCCTCCACTTGTGAAACAAAATTCCCCTTGACCTAAAACAAGGCGAACTTTCCTAGAAACAGCTCAAACTGCTTCACATACACTCTAAAGGCTTCAAATGAGATTTTTTAATTTTAAAAAATTGATTGGCAGAGGGGGTACAGAAGGGCTAGAGGCTAGAGTTAAGTCCTTGGGGAGTTGCGTTCCACAGCTGGGGACCTGAAGAGACACATTTTGCCGGCTATAAACTCAGTTAATTTCAGTTAATTTCAACAAGCTGTCTTCATTCCTTTCATAAGGCCGAAACACCAGTGTGAAGGGAAAATCTTAGAGATACCTAGAGATGTAGTGAAAAACACCAATTTTGTGCATGCAGAGCTGTATTTCCCTATGAAACAACACCAACTTCACTTGTGTGACCAGTGTCAGATAAGCATGAGAACAATTTTAGTCCTATACGACACTTCATTCTCTTATTGTGCTTTGTTTTGTTCAAAGTTTTTGCGAGTGGAGCAAGACAAGGACAAAGAATGCAGCCTGGAATGCACGGGATCTCCTCAGAAGTCATTGTGTGCTTCCGATGGCAGGACTTTCCTGTCCCGCTGTGAATTTCAACGGGCCAAATGCAAAGATCCTCAGCTAGATATTGCCTACAGGGGCAACTGCAAAGGTAAGGCATTGTTCATAACATTCATTCATCAATCTTCAACCATAATCTTACCAGATTATTTTAGCCATCTGTAATCCTGCCAACTAGTAAGGGTGATTTCCCATAAACTGCATACAAATAATGAATGATGCATAGAGCAAATGCTGTAAAACCAGTGGTAAACCTTAGATAAAACAAGTGTAAGTAAACCTATAGGAATGTTGTACATGCTTCTCCTGTGTGTATGTCAATGACGCTTTTCTCCACGTGATTTTTTGATCTGCCTCATACCTCAGCCATGAAGTGCAAAGCACCTTCTAGGTGCTGAATCAGCATGAACTGTGGTTGACTCAGTGCTCTGTTGCTCTGTCCTAAACTTACATAGGAGCAATAGACTGGGAAGGCCCCAAAGTTATGAAGGATCTGGCCCAGTTCCACAATTAAGCAGAGTAAGGTGGCCTACACAGGCAGCAGATGCTTAGAAACACTGGTAGCAATTAGCGGTATTGTGCAGCAAAGGCACAGAGGGTGGAGACCTCAGGGTATTCTGGTTGCAGGGGACTATGATATCATCTGCCCACCCATCCCAGACTTCCTTGTTTTCTCTGAGCAGTTTTCTCTACAATCCTCAGAATCGCTGTGGGAGAATCTTAATCAAAAGTGTCCTGTTTGCTGGTCCCGCCAGATTTACTGCTGCCTGTTGTTAGTGGTGTAGCCTCTTAATTGCTGTAATAGCTGGTTTCCTTGCAGTGTTATTTTCCTTTTCATTTTAAAAATATTGACACAGTGCTACTGTGCTATAAAAATATGAAAGGAAATCATTAAATTAAAGCCTTCTCCCACTCAAAGGAACAGGAATTGACACTAGGACAATTAAGAGGGGCTATTCAGCACTAACATATTTTACTTAAATTTGCAAATATTCTTGTGGCATATGCTTCTTCATACATTTCATGAACTGGGCGGCAGTCCCAGAAAGTTTGTGCCACATAAATTGCGACACTCTGGACTTCCATTTTCTACATGGCCACCAGTTTAATCTGAGGAGCAGGCAGCATTGTCAGAAAGACCTTCCCTAGAGATGGAAGAGATCAGACAGGAGGAAAAAGGATCAATATCGCACTATATCAATCCCTCCTCTCTCAACATCCTTTCCTCTCCACAGGCCTTGGGTAGTTGTCTAATCATTTCCCTGTCTAGTTTTGATATGTAAAGCTCTGCTGCACAATTTTGGGTGATCTGAAAGACGGGCTGACTGATGCTAAACCCTTTTGCATTGCCTTCTTGGCAGGAGCATTGATATACTTCCCAGATTAATTGCAGGGTTTGATTCCCCCTCCCCCGCCCAGCACAGTGCTTTTCTTCCTTATACATAAATACCACTGATCACAAAAGTTTACCTTCCCTCCTGCACTATCCCAAAAAAGAGACCACACAGAGACATTTTCCAGGAGACAATTTTCTACATTATGCATTCCTTATCTCTATTAGCTCCCCAAAGCCTCTATAAAGCACCAAGAATTCTGAAAAGAGACATTCTGTCTCCTCCCTGTTCTGTCCTAAGTGAAACATTCTGCTTTTCCTCTGAGTCTCTTCCATAATGCTGCCTTGCATTGTCTAATTGGCTGCATCTCCATATACGCAGAGTGATCAAGGGTGATCAAGAAAACATGCCTGAGTTTGGAAATCCAAGCTTCTGTTATTGTTGTGAACAACATAAAAACCATAGCAACATTTAAAAAAAACATTTTTAACTAATTTGAAAACTTGTAGAGCACCAGCATGGGCTTTTTGGACCATTTCCCTCTCCTGCTACAGCACCAACACATATAGGATGCTAGCCTGTTCCTCCCATATGAATCATTACATAGTCTCTCACTTTGCCATTGCACCAGCTGGAGTTTGCTGCATTGGGATGGAATATCTCTTTGTACAAGCTCAGAAGCAGTCATAGCACTTGTACTATGTAGCTTTGCATGTGCACATGGAACAAACAGAATTCTGTCCATGGAAAACAGCTAGCCATGTGTAGTAGATATATGCATATTTGTGTTTTCTTTACTGTATCTCCCATAATTCCCATGGCCCCGCTGCCTGGGGAATTATGGGAGCTATAGTCTAAAACCAAGATGTATAACTTGACCATCCCTTTCTTCACTCTCTGCCCCCTTTATTGCTTAGTTAGTTTTAGATTGTGGAATTAATGGTTGGGTATCTCTTTAAATTACAGTGTACATTACTTTGTTTGCATTAATATGTGATAAACCTGCCCAGCTGCATTTGGCATTCCTCTGATTCATTCTGCGACATGCAGCTCTGGGCTTCAGCCCTGGACACTATTTATCCCGTAACCCCAACATGTGCTGTTACTTCCCTGTTCCAATTCTCAGAGTTTGGATGTTACTTTGAAAAACCCCTGTTCATTACATGTGACTTCCAAAAAGTAACTTGTTAGCATTTCCTATTATGAAAGCAGTAACCTGTTACATTGCATTAGGTCTAAAATTGTGGATATGGCAAAAAAAAACGTAATTTTTCAGACATAAATTCAATCACTGGTTGAAATCCAGTAGTAAATCACAACCACAGCAGGCCCACTGAATCAGTGAAACTTATGGAGGAGTTGACTCACCAAATCCTTACTGATTTAGTAAGCCTACTCTTGTTGTGACTGGGATTCAGACGGCATGTCATTTTGTAAAAGTAATGGAGCTAATAGTACTACTAAAGTGACATATTACAGGTAGCATCACTATTTACAATTTATTATTTCCAAGCTTTGCTGATATGGCCCAGAGCTTCTTTGCAGAAGTACCATATGAATACTTCATTTTTTAAATCCCCTCTTCCACAAGGGGACCTGCTACTAAAATTTGGACTTCTTCATAGCAATAAAAGTTGCTTTCTAGATCAATGGAAAGCAACTTTAAGCTTTTTGTAAAGGAGAAATTTCATTTTTCATGTTGCATATGGACCTGAAAGGTAGTATTTTTCCACCCACTCAAAGAGTTGCACATTAGTAACTTGAACAGGATGAACTATGCCATGCATTTTTTAATTTATTTTCCCAAAGAAAATCCTAAAGATCCTTCTTTTCAATGGAAACCATTTGGATGTAGTCTCAATGTAATGTTTGTAAGCCGAGAAATCAAGACACTAATTCCACTTGATGCTGCACTTGTGTGAAAGTTTACGTAAGTTGAAGTAAGTTCTGCAGAGCCAGTTTACGAAAGGTAATGGTAGCTGTTATGGCTATGGCCCTTGCTTTCTTTCAGTCGATGATTGGATGGTCTTGTAAAAGCAAACAAGATTCCTTCTAATTTTCCAGAGCACTAAGCAGGAGCTCTGCCCCATGCACACAGGGGTCCAGCTGCAACCAGAAGGAAATGGGCAGCAACATAGGCTCAGCTGTGCCCGCATGCCCATGCGGCTGAGAGGAAATGTTGATAGCAAATCATAATTCATTGGTGAAAGACTTATGATGACCAACATAACCAATAGTGTAGATGGTGGTTCTAGATGGGAACAAGACGTCACGAATTTTGACAAGATTCCCTCAGACGGTGCCCTATCTTCTCTTCATCTCTGTTTGCTTGTCCACTTCACTTGTCCTGTCCTTCTGGCCTAGTCACACACATCTGCCTAAGGATAGAGAGCAAGAGAGGACCTCCTCTGTCGCTTTCCACTCCCACCATTGCTCAATATCTTGGTGAGTGCAGCTTGTGCACAGATGGAGAAGAAGCTGGGATTGGCAACACAGCATGGGGTCATGACCAGAGTGTGTCATGACAGTCTCTAGAATCTTGTGGGTCTAGGAACGTTGTGCCCACTTCTTTGGAACTAGGAAGGTCACCGGGGAACTTTTTCTAAGTTCTCACCACCACCACCCCCGAACATGCATTATAATCCAACACACTCACCTCTCCTTGAAATATATATATATATTACTGTAGGTTTCCACAGATCCCTTTTACTTTCTTTTTCTGTGCCTCACTCAAATCCTGAGAAATCCAAAGCAAGCACAGCACACAAATCTCTTAAAAATAATTGTGTAATACAAGGCAATAAAGCCCAAATCATAAAAACATGGGCATTTTTTTTCAGACTATGAGTAGAGTATTAGATGCAAAAGCCAAGAATTCAGAGTAACTATTTCCAACTCTGTTTTCAATATTAAAAGGAACGTCAGTCAGGGAGTGTTTAGGTTAAGTGACTCCTGCCACAATGCAATGAGTGGGTCATACTGGCCAAGGAAGTTCAGGCCAGGCCTATGATCCTTTTGTTTTGTTCCGAATATTTATTCCTTAAGACTCAGAAGACTAGAATGTCAGATACCTTTCCAGGAAGGAAATTACTGTGCTTCTTTCTGTTAATAATTCCATTGCTTAAAAGCAAAGGATGTGGATTTGAACAGAATTTCATAAGGGTATAAGGGAAATGTTGCTTAAGAACTGAGTTATAACCAAATGTAATGAAAATTATTTGCAGAACGACTCTATTCTCTTGACCTTCCTCTGACCAAACACATACTCCTGATGACTTGGGCAAGACTTGGAATAACTAATATTTAAAACATTGCAATAAAGGAAGCATAAACTGCTTCAAAGACAGCGCTGACCTCTCCCAAATACTAATGCAAATTAAAAGAATATGCAAGTGACTCTGATTATCAAAATAAATAACTTGATGCTTGACCCAACTTTCCCCCGGAGAAATATAAATGAAAATATGAATATGGAAGTATGTGAATACGTAAATATAACTATACCAATGTGATGCTGCTTCATACATCTGCTGAGGTGGGCCCTAGTCCCTGAAAGGTCTGGATCATAACAGTTTAATTCTTCAGGTTCATTACAAAGTCAGTGCCACCACCTACTCTGGAATTTTCCCTCATTTTGACAGAAATTGAATTAGTCAGTGAAAGCTATTTACTCAGCATGCAGTCAATAACAATGAAGCAGTGAAGGTCAGATCCATGGGCACTATCCAAAGAACAAACTATTATTGTATGGTTCATT